TTGGATGGCTCGACATGGGCGAGTCTACAAGGATGAGATAGAGAAGGAGAAGCATTTCAACATATTCAAAAAGAATGTTGAGCGTATAGAAAGTTTCAATGCTAATGCATCATCAAAAAAGCTGTACATATTAGGTACTAATGCCTTCGCTGATTTAACCAATGAGGAGTTTGTAGCTACTCACACTGGTTATAAAAACGATCTAATTCCACATTTGGAGGTTCATTAACAACGAATTTTAGGTACGAAAATCTTACTGATGCTGACATCACGCCTTCACTGGATTGGAGAGAACAAGAAGCTGTCACAGGGATAAAGGACCAACGGGCATGTGGTATGAAATCAATAAAGAAAAGTATTACATAATCTTATTGTTACTACACCCTCTGCTCTTTTTTGTTTTACACCTTGACCTTTTTTTTCTCTCACAAAAAAATTGCAAACGTGATAAACAATACAAGTAATAAGGAACAAAGGAAGTGTTACTATTTTTTTTTTTTATTTTTTTTTTAATAGAGGAAGTATTACTTTACAAGCTTGCCTTAGTTTCTCTTAGTAATAAACAAAAATGTTTATCACATGACATTTTCGTAAATAAATCGACAAATATATCAAATCACCATCTCTTATGGAGCCCACATCAATGAAAAAGTTGTTGATTTATTTAATAAAATGCAATGTGATAAACAATTTTTGTTTATCAGTGAGAGAAACCTTGTATTTACTACTGTTACATTACATTCCTTAAAATTAAATGTTTCGTTATGATATGTGCTAAAAAATTGTAGGGTGTTGTTGGGCATTCTTAGTAGTTGTGGCAGTGGAAGGGCTAAACCAAATATGAACAAGACAATTAATCTCACTCTTAGAGGAGCAACTTGTTGATTGTGTGCAAGATAACAATGGTTGTTATTGATGTTCACTGAATTGTGAACTTCATTGAAGAACAAACCAGAAAATTTAGAGAGAGAAAAGAACTTTTGTTTTTATTAATTGAAAGCAGAGTAATCTCAATCAATTACAAAAGATATAGAGCTAGAGTATTTATAGAAGAATACAAGCTCAGGTATTACAAAAGAAGCTACTAGAATCAGTTACAAAAGGAATCTAATTCTGTTATGGCATAACAGAATTTTGATATAGCCTGTAATAACATAATGCTGACATGGACAGCTCACACGGAATGCTGAGTTGTGTCTTTAGAGGATTAATGACATGTCCAATCTTCAATACCAGTAGCTAGATCATCTTCATGTAATAAGCAAGCAACCAATGCAGAAACCAGCTTACTTTGATCAATGCTTAGAACTGTCTTGCCTTGATCACTATATACACTAATACCCCACCTCAAGCTAGAGGATGATTGGAGATCAAGCATTCCTAGCTTGGACATAAGATCCTGATGCTGAGAAGAAAGTATTTTGGTCAAGATATCAGCCAACTGTTCTTTGGTTGGAACATAAGTCAGCTCAATGAGACCTTACATAACCTTCTCCCTTGTAAAATGACAATCCAACTCTATATGTTTAGTCCGTTCATGATGGACTGGATTTTTGCCAATGTGAATTGTAGATTGATTGTCACACCTCAACTGAACAGGTTTCAAATTATTAACACCCAACTCTTATAGTAGCTTGATAAGCCATGTAATTTCTAATGCTGCAGCTGCAAGTGCCAGGTACTCAGCTTCAGAGGATGATTTTGAGATTGTGCCTTGCTTTTTCGATTTCCAAGAAATTAGACTCTTACCCAACATCATGATATAGCCAGTAACAGATCTTCTGGTAACAGGGAATGCAGCCCAATCAGAGTCTGAGTAACCTTGCAAAACTAGCTAATGTGTAGGTTATATGAAAATGCCTTGACCAATAGAGTGAGTTACATATCTCACCAAATGATGAAGGGCCTTGTAATGAGAAACTCTAGGGCAATTCGAAAACTGACTCAGAGTCTGCACTAAAAAGAAGATGTCAGGCCTAGTGTGATTTAAGAAGTTTACCTTCCCAACCAAGCATCTGTATTGAACAGGATCAATAAAGGATTCATGTTCATCTTCATGCAGCTTCAGTGTGAAAGGTAAGGGAGTCTTGGCCACCCTTGAAGCATCCGTAGCACAATCGGCAAGAAATTCCTTGGTAAATTTCCTTTGAGTCATGACAACTCCATTACCAAGTTTGGCAACCTTAATACCAAGAAAATAGCTGAGCTCATCCAAGTCTTTAATACTGAACTTAAGATGTAAGTTAGCTTTAAGAGAGTTGATAGAGGAAGGATCGGCTCCTGTGATCAAGATATCATCAACATAAACAACAATGATGGTTTTTGAACCTTGACAGTCTTTAATAAAGAGAGAATAGTCATTTTTAGACTGATTATAACCAAGAGAAATCAACTTAGCTGTAAGTTTGGCAAACCACTGCCTGTTGGCTTGTTTTAAGCCATAGAGAGACTTTTTCAGCAAACAAACCTTCTTATCAGGATTTAGAACACCATCAGGAACCTTCATATATATTTCTTCATTCAATTCTCCATGTAGAAAGGCATTTGTTGATGTCCAATTGATGAATAGACCATTGATTATTCACAACAATAGAAATAAGGCATCTGACAATTGACATTTTGACTAATGGAGAGAAAGTCTCAGCATAATCAACACCATATTTCTGAGTGAAGCCTTTAGCAACTAGTCTTGCCTTGAATCTCTTTATAGTGCCATACTTTATTTAATTTCACCTTAAATACCCATTTACAGCAAATGGCTTTCTTTCCTTTGGGCTGATCAGTAAACACCCAAGTATTATTTGCAGTGAGAGCATCAAGCTCCTTTTGCATTGCATCAACCCATCTGGGATCAAGAGAAGCTTCCAGGTAACTTACAGGCTCAGTTACTTTGGAAGAATGGCTAATGTGTTCTTTCTGAGGTGATGTAACTCATCAAACTTAACCACATTGCACCAGTGTAGATTGTCTGAAGCAAGATAGACATAATCAATCATCCATGCTCGTTTCTTACAAGGTTAAGCATTTTATATCCCTTTTGATTTGGTGGAAAACCAACTAGGACACAAGGAACAACTCTGACATCAAACTTGGATCTATTACTCATTAGGGTTGACACATATCTTAAACACCCAAACACCCTCAAATTACTTAAATCAACTTTCTTATCATTCAACCTTTCAAATGGAATCTCAAAATTGATGATACTCAAAGGCATTCTATTGATTAAGTATGTTGCTATCAACAAACACTCTCCCCAAAATCTGATAGGAACTCTAAACTGAAAGTATAAAGCTCTAGCAGTCTCCAAAAGATATCTATGCTTCCTTTCCACAACACCATTTTGTTGTGGTGTGTCAACACAACTTTTCTGATGTACAATCCCATTAGAATTGTAAACATGTAAGATTTTACCTTCACAGAGTTCTTTTGCATTATCTGTTCTAATACTCTTCACATTCACTCCAAACTGAGCAAAAGCATACTAAACAAAGTTCTCTAGAATATCAACTGAATCAGACTTATTTTTCATTAAGAATGTCCATGTATTTATTGAGTATGTACAATTGTCAAGAAATATGTCCATGGATTTTGATTGTTTGATTCCAAACCAGCCATTTTGATTCAATTATAACAAAAACAAATGAAATTCTTCTTGAATTTCTGAATCAGAAACACCTTAGGTGTAATAAAACTTCAAATTCTTCTTGAATTTGAAACAAAAATTGTGAAAAACGAATTAAGATTCAACTAAAATCAAATGAAAAATTGCGGAAAAAACAACAAATCAGGAGCTCTTAGGCTCTAATACCATATTGATGTTCACTGAATTGTGAACTTCATTGAAGAACAAGCCAGAAAATTTAAAGAGAGAAGAGAACTCTTGTTTTTATTAATTGAAATCAGAGTAATCTCAATCAATTACAAAAGATATAGAGCTAGAGTATTTATAGAAGGTACAAGCTCAAGTATTACAAAAGAAGCTACTAGAATCAGTTACAAAAGGAATCTAATTTTGTTATGGCATAGCAGAATTCTGTTATAGCCTGTAATAACAGAATGCTGACATGAACAACTCACACGGATTGCTGAGGTGTGTCTTTAGAGGATTGTTGACATGTCTAATCTTCAATACTAGTAGCTAGATCATCTTCATGCAATAAGCAAGCAATCAATGCAAAAACCAGCTTACTTTGATCAATGCTTGGAATTGTCTTGCCTTGATCACTATATACACCAATAGTTGTGAAGGCGGCGAAATGAAAACAGCTTTCGAATACATTGAAAATAACCAAGGTATATCAGCAGAAGATGATTACCCATACACTGCATCCAATGGTATGCCGAGTCAATGCCTAGTCAAATCAAGTGTGGTGACAATAAACGGCTATGAATCAATTCCACCAAATGACGAGGGTGCCCTAATGAAAGTCGTTTCCCAGCAGCCTGTCTCGATTGGTATCGATGGTAGCGGGGATGAGTTCAAGTACTACAAAAGTGGAGTCTTCCATGGAGAGTGTAGCGACGATATTACTCATGTTGTTACCGCTATCGGGTATGGCACCGATACTAATGGGATCGATTATTGGTTGTTGAAGAATTTATGGGGCGAAAGTTGGGGAGAGAATGGTTATATGAGGATTATCAGAGGACAAAATAAATGTGATATCACTTTGGACGCTTCTTATCCAGTATGATTACATACTAATAATATGCATGGAAGAAACTTGTCAAATGGATGGTTATATTATGATTGAATGAGTTTATGTTTTAAACTTTTGTTAGGTTATTATATTACTTCAAAAGTCCTACTTCGGACATACATTTATGATATATTTTCTTCAAGTAGTAGTTAAGCATGCAATATATGCATGGATTGTTTGTGTGTTAAAATTATGTATTTGGTTGATTTCTACAAAGATTGAATACAAGCAAAAATTATATTACCTGTTTTGACTTTGTGCAAATTTGAATACAAGCAAAAAAAAAAAAAATCTTGTACAAGTGCTTGATTTTGATATTCTATTAATTTTGCATAAATAAAAATAGAAATAAGCACAATTTTTGTGCTTAATTTTAAGACGGAACAACCAGTTACTTTTATATTAGATTTTAAAAGTTCACTACTTTTTTGAAAAATGAAAATTAAGAATTTGAAATAAAAAAAATTATAATTTTAAAAAAACCTTGTTTATAGGAACAAAGTGGATCATAGTTAGTTTTGAAATTAAGATAAATAGTATTGCCACTCAAAAATAGCCATTCATTTGTATATCACTTAAATTACCCAATTACATCATACTCCTCTAATAGTAGCTATACTCTCTAAAGCTAAATGGCTTTCTCAAATCATTATCACTTCCACTCCATTTCTTTTGTCATCCTTGCTTTGGGATTTTGGGCATCTCAAGCCTCAGCTCGTCCTCTCGACCTTCACAAAGCCTTGCTAATAAGAAAGAGACACGAGCAATGGATGACTCAACATGGTCGCGTTTACAAGGATGAGATAGAGAAGGAGAAACGTTTCAACATATTTAAGAAAAATATCGAGTACATAGAGAATTTTAATGGTAATAATGCTTCATCAAACAAAATGTTCACATTAGGCGTTAATGCTTTCACTGATTTAACTACTGAGGAGTTTATAGCCACGCATACGGGTTATAAGAGGCAATTTCATTCCATATCCAATGGCTCGATGACAATGGAGTTCAGTTACGAAAACCTTACCGATTATGACATCTCGCCTTCAGTGGATTGGAGAGAACAAGGAGCTGTTACAGGGATAAAGTACCAAGGCCAATGTGGTATGAAATTAAACTATAATTTACTTTATATATATGCATTTTCTTAAAATTGATTTTTGATTTAGTCATTATGCTAAAAAATTACAGAGGGTTGCTGGGCATTTTCGGTGGTTGCAGCAGTAGAAGGACTAAATAGAATTAAATTTGGACAATTAATCTCACTATCAGAGGAAGAACTCATCGATTGTGTTCAAGAAGACGGTTGTCGTGGCGGTGATGTCTCGAAAGCTTACACATTCACCCAACAAAACCAAGGCATAACAACTGAAGGTGAGTACCCATACACTGCATACTACGGCTATCAGGGTCAGTGCCAAGCTTGGAACGCTGGAGGCAATACAGTGACAATTAATGGCTATCAAAATGTTCCTCAAAACGACGAAATCTCTCTGATGCAGGCCGTTTCCCGACAACCTGTCTCGGCTGGCATCGACGCTAGCTCTGCAGATTTTAAGAGCTACAGCGGGGGAATTTACTACAACCAAATGTGTGGAACCTCCTATTACGATTTAAATCATGCTGTTACTATTATCGGGTACGGTTACGACGACACCTATGGGACTAACTATTGGTTGATCAAAAATTCATGGGGAGAATCCTGGGGTGAGAATGGTTATATGAGAATCATCAAAGATCAAAATCAATGTGGCATTTCCATGGCCGCTTCTTATCCTATATAATTTTTATTTAATTACATGTTATTCATGGAAGAATGTTGAAGTATGTAAGTCAAATTAGTGGTTAGTTAGTTCCAGTGTTTAGGAGCAATTGTTAGTCAGTTGCATAAATTAGGATTTTGTTTTTGGCTAAAATAATTTAGCCTAAATGTGCTTTTGCTTTGCTTGTTAGATTGGCGCTCCGATCCGTATTATAGTTAGTGCTTGTTATTAGTACATTTAAGTGCCCTTTTTTTATTATACAAGAAGTGTCCGTTTTATTCTTTAGTAAACTGTATTTTAAAATTTTGATGTATAAAATTATGAATATTACGTACACCTACTTAATTGAATACCAACATCAAACATTATAAATAGTGAACTATTAATCTTATTTTAAATTTTTAATGGGTTGTATATTTGTATCATTATAAATAGCTTGAAATATATTTAGATTAAGGTCAATCATTAACAATTAAGGATACTCTAAAACAACACTTCTTATATAATCTATACTCCCTCCATTTTTAATTAATTGCTTTATTTCTCCATGCGCGGAGTTTTAAAAGAAATTGGAGAAGTAATGAAATATGGAGGTAGTGGGGTTGGTAGAAGAATAAAATTTTGCAAAAAGCAAAACTAGTTGAGAGAATTGAAGGCGGAAGAATCTAAAATTAATAAAATATGATTTATGTTGGGTTTACTAGTTGAGAGAAATGAATTAAATATTGTAAAAGTTTTTCAAATAAAGAAATGGAGCAATTAATTAAAAACGACCGAAAATGAAAAGTGGAGCAAGTAATTAAAAACGGAGGGAGTATGATCTTATTAACCTTATTTAAAGAGAATATTATGATCTTAAATAATAGGTAGGATTTTTTTCCCTTTCTCGAAAAAAAAATGTACGTACTATATACCTCTTTTAAGAAGGATGGTTATTTAACCATCTAAGCCAATTATCAACTTTAAAAAATATAATATATTTTGCTATTTGTGAATAAAAGAGAGTAGATATTTCTCTAGATTATATAGGCCAAATAAATATATGTATTTATATACTCAACTTTGGAAGTACTGTGTGTTAAGTGTGACCTAGATTTTATTGGCTTATTTGTTTTGGTGGAATAAAGATTTCAAAAAATATCAAGCGCACGCGATTAGTATGTACTTGCTTATAATTACTCTAATAACGTGTTTTATGTGCGGCTGACCACCCCATGTGACCGCTTGTAAATTAACAAAGTAATCTCTAAATTACTAACCGAGTAACCCTATAATACTGACTAAGTAATCCCTATAGCACTAATGAAGTAACCCCGTGAAATTGACCGAGTTACCCCTATAGCACTGATGATGTAACCCTTTTAATGGCTAACTGTACGATGTGACCATTCGCATATAAGAATTTGTGTTATTGTAAATTTTTCTACAATATTGTATCATAAAAGCAAAATTTGATATTTTATATACTTCGTATAAGTCTCATAACAAAAAAAAAAACATTGTGGTAGAACCAATAATTATCACTTTACACATTGTGACACAAGACATGAAAATTTACAACAGTTCCCTTACTTTTCTCTCAAAGCAAGGAGTTCAAAGTTGCAAATTTAAATTGGTTTTGGATTGGAGCAAAAAATCAGGTAATTTTCGTTATAATCCAAAAGCACGTCATCTAGAAGAAATAATAAAAAGAAAAAATGTTTGCGGCTCGGCGGTGGAACCGTGTAGCGACCATTCCTCATTTCTTGGTCTATTGACCTTGCATCTCACGTCCAACATTGGAGAAACAAGGATTTATATGAAATAAGCAAAATCATTTATTAAACTCATGTAAAAAAAAATAGCAAAAACAAATTATAATTCTATTCACATTGTGACGAATTAAACTAACTAATGTCATGATGCCTGTTGTAGTAAACATGAAGTGGCTGCATTGTAGTAGCAGCATGACATAATTAAGGGCTAATCGGTTCCCAGCGGTTAATTTCCCAAAAAAGGTAAAAAAAAAAATTAATAAAAAAAAAATCATAGGACTACAAAATGCTCTGTAATATTTTTGTACTAGATTATTCCCGTGTGATGCACGATTTTAACAAAAATAAATTATAGTGTAGAACTCGTATATACAATTAATCTTTCAAATTTGTCATAAATTCATTGGAAGGAATACAGTTGCTATTCAATTTACTTTACTCTGATTTTCTAGATTAAAGTTGTTAAAAGAATCACAAATTCTAGAAAAAGACCGGATTACACTAACTTAGTGTAAAACCGGCCCACTTCTATCATCTGGACTGGGCTCACACGTGCCAGTCCAACAATTTTTTTTTTTTTTTTTACGTTTTATTTCTTAAAGTTACACTTCTATTTCTTAAAGTCATACTTCTATTCCTTAAAGTCACACTTCTATTCCATAAAGTCACACTTCTATTCCTTAAAGTCACACTTCTATTTCTTAAAGTTATACTTCTATTTCTTAAAGTTACACTTCTATTTTTTAAAGTTATACTTCTATTTAGGTTTTGTTGCAAAAATTCGTTGTTTAAATCAATTGCACAATCAACATCAATTGCACAATCAACGTTTGAAATTGGAGCTTGAATTTGTTTTTGAGATTGTAATAATTTGTGAATTAGAGAATTCATAGCTGTTTTGCAGAGAATTGCAGCGAATTTGAGAGATGTTTTGTTGCGGCTGCGAAATTGTGAGAGGAAGTTTGAAGAAGAAGGTTGAAGAAGAAATTTGCGCTGCTTTTAATATAAAATATGAAGAAGGTTGAAGATGAGTTTGAAGAAGGTTGTCGCATGTGCGAATCCGGTTTTACATTAACACTAATGTAAGCCGGTTGTACGCAAGACCGATACTAAAAGAATTTACTTAACTTGTTTACGAAATATCACAAAAAAAAATAAAAAATAAAAAATAAAAAACTTTTTTTTTAAAAAAGTTCACAAAAAAATGACATCATCAATGGTTTTAGGCGGGGAAATTTTTAATAAGAAAGCGACACTTATACAGTTTTGAGGACAGATGATGCCAGCAATATTTTGTTTTAGTAATAGTTAATAGATTATAAAAAAAATCATGTATACAATCTGAACCTGACACAATAATAAAATTTAAAAATAGAGGGGTATTATAATTATGTAAAGTATTATTGAATTTGTCAATGGTAATATATAATACCAATTTTTACGCGAGTATAATTACTTATTACTTCGAATTATTAAATACTTCCTCTGGTTTTTTTTTTTTAACTTGACCTGTTTCTTTTATCATGCTTGCCGATGCAAAACTTTAGCGATTAATAATTTTAATTTTCTATAAGTAAAAATTATAAAAGTTATATATTATGATAGTATTTAAACATCTCACATGAATATGTTTTTCCTTATACATTATTCATAAAAGACGGTCAAAGAAGGGGTGGTGAATAATTTAAAAGTCAAAGCGGGTCAAGTAAAAAAAAATGGAGTTATCATTTCTTGATTATCGACTTATTCTTATTACAGACCATTTAAAAGAAATCTAAATAATTACGGAGGGGAAGACAAATTATCATTCTACGTCAACTATGTAGTTTCCATGAACTGTAATGTAAAACGTAAAGATTGGTTAAGAAATATGTTTACATTTCATATTAAGAGATGCCTATATAAGATAGACACATTAATACCATTTTGTGCATCCAACTTAACAACATTTATTATCTCCCAACATATATATTATACACCTTCTCTCATAATCTTAACTACTTGATGGCTTTCACAAACCAACATTTCCAATTCTTATGCTTAACCTTAGTCCTTATATCGGGGCTTTGGGCCACCCAATCTTTGGCTCGTCCTCTCGACCATCACAAAGCCTCGTCTCTACGAGAGAGACACGAGCTTTGGATGGCACGACATGGGCGAGTCTACAAGGATGAGATAGAGAAGGAGAATCGTTTTAACATATTCAAAAAGAATGTTGAGCTTATAGAAAATTTCAATGCTAATGCATCTTCAAATAAACTATACACATTAGGTACTAATGCGTTCACTGATATAACCACTAAGGAGTTTGTAGCTACTCACACTGGTTATAAAAAGCGATCTGATTCCACATTTGGTGGTCCGGTGACAACGAGGTTTAGGTTCGAAAACCTTACTGACGCTGACATCACGCCTTCAATGGATTGGAGAGAATATGGAGCTGTCACAGGGATAAAATACCAAGGGCAATGTGGTATGAAATCATTAGAGAAAAGTTTTACATGATCCTATTGTTACTACACTCTCTGTTCCGAACGTTTATATACGGTAGTCATTCTTAAAATGTCTACTATTATTCTCAATTTTAATTGGCTGATTTTTTTTATTTATTTTTTTGGTGGTCAAACTTGATTTAAAAATGATTTTCTTTTTAAAAATCTCATAGTTAATTATGAAATTAAAAAAAGATTTTTGTGAATTTAATAATTAAAATAAAAAATGAACGGACTTTTAAAAAAGACAAATAAAAAATTATAATAATTAAAATTTAAAAATGAATGGACTTTTAAAAAAAAAAAATCACCAACTTTTATATGTGGCTGGCCACACCGTGGGCCAACTATCATAAGGGTACCTTCGTTAGTGTTATAGGGGTTACTCGATTAGTGTTATAAGAGTTAGTCGGTCAAGATATATGGGTTACTTAGTCAGTTTATATGGGATACTTTGTTTTTTTAAAATCGGTCACATGGTGTGGTCAGCCACATACAAAACGCGTTGAAAGAAAAATCATCTTTAATAAGTTTGACCAACAAATAAGTAAATAAAAAATCAGCCAATCAAAATTGAGTAGGTAGTATTATTCATTTTAAGGATGACTATGGCAGAATTTTCACTCTGTTCCTTTTTGTATTTTACCCCTTTATTTTTTTCTCTCTAAATTTAAATGTTTTTTTTATCATGTGATTAAAATTGTAGGGTGTTGTTGGGCATTCTCAGTAGTTGCAGCAGTAGAAGGGCTAAACCTAATAAAAACAAGACAGTTAATCTCACTTTCAGAGGAGCAACTTGTTGATTGTGTGCAAGGTAACAATGGTTGTGAAGGCGGTGAGATGAAAACAGCTTTCGAATACATTGAAAATAACCAAGGTATATCAACAGAAGACGATTACCCATACACTGCATCCAATGGTATGCCGAGTCAATGCCTAGTCAAATCAAGTATGGTGACAATAAACGGCTATGAATCAATTCCACCAAATGACGAGGGTGCCCTAATGAAAGCCGTTTCCCAGCAGCCTGTCTCGGTTGGTATCGATGGTAGCGGGGATGAGTTCATGTACTACAAAAGTGGAGTCTTCCAAGGAGAGTGTGGCAATGACATTACTCATGCTGTTACTGCTATCGGGTATGGCACAGATACTAATGGGATCGATTATTGGTTGTTGAAGAACTCGTGGGGCGAAAGTTGGGGCGAAAATGGCTATATGAGGATTATTCGAGGACAGAATAAATGTGGTCTCACATTGGACGCTTCTTATCCTGTTTGATTTACGTCAAAAGGATGGTCTTGAGATTGCTTGAGCTTCGATCGGTTGCCTAGCTACGGAGTATTATATTATGATTGAATGAGTTTATGTTTTAAACTTTTGTTAGGTTATTATATTACTTCAAAAGTCCTACTTCGGACATACATTTATATTATATTTTCTTCAAGTAGTTAACCATGCAATGTATGCATGGATTGTTTGTGAGTTAAAATTATGTATTTGGTTGATTTCTATAAAGATTGAATACAAGCAAAAACAGTATTACCTATTTTGACTTTGTGCAAATTTGAAGCCTTTCAATGTGAACTAAACTAGGCGTTGGTAGTTATAAATCTAATGCATAAATTTTTAAATGGTGATCTTATGTATAAGTCACATTCTTACATACCAATCTTCTTTAATCGTCACAAAATACAATTTCTAAAATGCAACTTTGTTTACACATAGTAATACAAAATTAAATATATCTATGATTCATAGAAAAATATGAAAAATCAAAGATATATGAAAAGTAAAATAATTAAGTATGTACCACAAAAGAAAATAGTGGGCACTATACGTACCTTGGTTCGTAGCTTGCAATTTCCTTATTTTATGTCTATTTCTATGATAAAGCAAAAGTAGTAGAGTTAGCAAAAATTCGTGTCGTGTCGTGTTCGTGTTTGATCTCGTGTCAATTTCGTGTTGTATATAAAATCTATCAAAAAATATTCAAAATGTAGGATAATTGCATAATTTGACCACTTAATCTAAACGGGTCGTCGTGTTTGGATTGGTTTCGTGTCGTGTTGTGTCAACTTTGTGTTTTGTCTCAGTAACTTCATTTTCGTATCATGCCAGTTTCGATTGTACTTTCGTATCGTGTAAAAGATTGGCAGCTCTAAAAAAATATATAGCCAGTTAATTACCGAAGATTTTGAAACGAATACGAATCAAAACAAAGTATGTCAATGCATGGGCTCCTGACTTAGAATCTTGATAGAGTGAGTACTACTACTGATCATCGCCTCCTTTATTGTGCTATTTAGAGTGTATTCGCGCTAACTTAACGCACGGATTATATATAGTGTATGTACCTTTTTCTGTACAAGTGAAAGTTATATTAAAAACAAAAAATAAATAAAAAATAAAAGCTTGTTTTTTTAAATTTATTTGGAGGGGTGAAAGTTAATTGGAGGACATAAAAAAAAAATTATAAAAATAAAAAAGAACGAAATTGAAGAGATATAATTTGGAGAGTTGTAGTGAGAATTTTTTTTTTTTTTAATTTATTTTTCATTTTTTATTTTTAAAAAAATTGTACCGTTATTACATTTACCATACGGTGATCAGGTTTAATAATATTTTATCCATTTTAAAAAGTTATTTTTTCACAAAAACTACTTATTACTCCCTCCTTTTTCTATATATAATATATATATAGGGTCGGGCTCCGGTGAGAACCACCTCCTATGTGAGAACTCATCTCATATGTGAGAGTAAATCTCAGTCATTAGATTGTATTAATCCAACAGCTGAGATTATTCAACTAATAATGGCAGTAATGTAATTCTTAAAACAAACAAATCAGCCCCCAAAACCCAAATTACGTACAATTTGTATACTCCTCTTTCTCTCTCTTTAAAGCTTGAAGGTGAGATTTCACTCTCCTCTTCTTCACTGCTACATAATTTCAAATTCTGAATTGATTTCTCTTTTTCGAATTTCTCTTAATTTGATTTAAATTTTGATAATTTCAATTGAATTCCCAAACTTCTTATTCTGATTTTTGTAATTTTGATAATTTCAAATCATCTTCTTCCAATTTTGATAAGTTCAAAACAACTTGAAGGTGGGATTACAATGGACATTAAAAATTGAAGATCGACGATTTGTTTTCGGAATCATAAGCAAGTTCACACCGACCTCACTCGCCTTGCTCGTGAATCTCGATGTAAGTTTCCGAAATTTGATGAATTTTCATTTAATTCTAATTTTTTGTGGATCTAGTTTTCGAATTTGATTTTGAGCTTACGGTGAATGAAATTGAAGCATTATTTGAGTTATTCAAAAAATTGAGTTGTACAATCATTGACAATGGCTTAGTTTTTATTCTGAATCAAATTTAGTACTATATTTATGGTCAGCATATTCAGTACAATGTTCTTATTATGTTCTTATTTACGAATGATGTTATTATGCTCCTATGTTATTAAGTTCTTATTTGCAATCAAATTTAAAATGAGCAAACCTAAATATGTGTAATAATATAAAAAAAAAATATAATGAGCAAACATAATTAAAATGAGCAAATACAAAAAAAAAAAAAAAAATAAAGCAAATATAAAAATGAGCAAATGAGGAAAATAAGCTAGTGATGGTAGGGTGCAGGGGATAGTGACGGTGGCAGGGGAGTGACAGTGAGACAGGTTGTGGTGATGCTGGTGGTGGTGGTAGGGTGCAGGGGCAGAGGAAGGAGAGGGAGTTTGGTGGTGGTGGTGGTGGTGGTGATGGTATGGTGTAAGGAAGATGGTGAGAAATGGCAAAAATCAAATATATCATAGTCAGCAAATATATCATACATGTTCTATTATAGGCGGCAAAGTTGATTATTTGTTCACTTTTTGCTACACAAATATAGTGTTTTTTATGATTAGTAGTAAAATTATTTCACATGGTTTGAATTGGGAGTTCTTACATGTCATACTTTGTAGTGTAGAACATAGTCTACCTTCTGCTATTCAACCCCTTATTCTGCCCCCCTGCTACTGCTGCCACCCTTCTACTTCTCCCCTCTTCTCTTATTATGTTTTATCTTTTACTGTGTGATTAACTTGTTATTGAGCAAAATAGAATTAAAATGAGTAAATATAATAAAAATGAGCAAACAAAATTTAAAATGAGCAAATATAACTAAAGCTATATTTTCTACTTTATTATGTTCTTAACTTGTTTTTTGTAATATTTTGCAGAAATGATTAGCAACAACGAACAGTGTAATAGTGATTCTAGTGCGAATGGCATAAGGAGTATGTGTTTTGGAACGTGGTTTATGTTGCTGTACATGCGGTAAATTACAAGAAATCCATATGGCTATGCTTTCCTATATAGCAGTTAACATAGTACGACTATATGAGCAATCACTTTTGTTAAAGCTAAAACCCTGAGATTTCCTATTTGCAGTGTAGTTGGATTTTAAATTTGCAACATGTCATATGTGAACCTATTAGCTCAATTGGTAGAGCACTATGCAAATGCATAGGGGATGTAGGTTCAATTCCTACATAGGTTATCTTTATAAACAAAATTAATTAAAAAAAAAAAATCAAATTCGTACTAATTATATGAGCAAAAAAATGGTTTGAAATGATTTATAACTATATAAACTTTGTTAAAATTAAACTCTCATACAAACTTATGTCTCCACATTACATAATGAACCTACGTGAGATTCAAATCCACATCTTTTGTGCATTTGCACAATGCTCTACCCTTGAGCTAGTAGGCTAACGTATTTAAAACATTCAAACACACTCACAAATGAGCATTAATTTGACAAGATGAGCAAGAATCATTTTCTCATTTGAAAAATGAGCATTAAATAGTTTGCTCATTAAACAAAGGAGCATTGAATTTTTTGCTCATTTGACAAATGAGCAAAAAATAATTGCTCATTTGACAAATGAACAAAAAAATTAATTGCTCATTTGACAAATGAGCAAAAATTTAATTGCTCATTTAACAAATGAGCAAAAAATTAATTGCTCATTTGTCAAATGAGCAAATAATTAATTGCTCATATGAAAAATGAGCATTAAATAGTTTGCTCATTTGACAAAGGAGCATTGAATTTTTTTGTTCATTTGAAAAATGAGCAAAAAATAATTGCTCACTTGACAAATGAGCAAAAAATCAGTTGCTCATTTGTCTGGTAAAATGTGTTTATGGCATAGGTCGCGTGAGCCCTAACATTGTTCGGGTTGTAACAAGCACCACTTGGTTGAATGGGTTTGCAATCAACTCCTTGGCTGCAGACGTAATTGATGTTGGACTGCAGTTGTGCATCAGGGGCCTGTTGTTTAGGTATGTACCATCCTTTAGCAGGGCCAGGTCCAGCAGGCTGAGCAGTCGAATTTGGTGGCCCTACAGGACTAGGACTCATCTGAGACTGCAAGCGAAGGAAACACCAAATATTATGAATAGAAACTGCAACACCAGAAGCCGATGCGTCTTTATTCACAATCTCCAGCTTTTATACCTGAACATTTGCATTGCAACAACCAATGTGATGTGAGCCACCAGACAACGATTACATCTTAAGAAGATTTTGTCAGCTAACTCCATATTATGAATAGAATTGGCATTAGTTGCTTCACATTGTAACCTTCCCTTATTGAACACGAAAGGCGACATTAGATCAAGAAATTGATACGCGTTAGACATCAATATTCACATTGAACAATGAGTGTCAACAGTAATAGGAAATGGACATGTACTCACATTGCTGTAAAATATTTTGTGGTTCATATTTACTACTCTGGCATTAAGTATTGTTTAGGCAGATGATAAAGACGATAAAAAACACAAATTGGACCAAATTTGGCCAAGTACAATTTCATAACTTCATTCTAGAATAAGGCTTTACTGAACCAAGGGCATGGTGCATTGCTTACTTAACCTGAATACCTTTCTTCTTGTTTTTCTCATCGACATTAATCCATACATCGCTGAGTGCAGTTCAAAATTCTTAAAGCCTGTCATTTCATAAAAGAAAGTCTTAAAAGAGGGAAATAGATGAATAATATAACAGAATTTAAGTCCTCTGTCTCACCTAAAAACAATGGTAAATTTTTTGGATTTTAAACTTTTTCCAAATTTGAATAATAGTCTGACTATGGATCCTAAGGCGATAGCTTACAACACAGAAGCAGATGTAACATGTAAGCTAGAATGTATATATACATATAAGAGTGATAGACCATCTGAAACTCTGAATAACCTTGTGCTTTTGCTGTTTAACTTCAGTGATCTCTGTTGTATTAGAAGACATGGGAAAGATTGTTATATCAGTATATTTTTGCAAAAATTAACTTTAAACATCAATTTCCCAAACAAGATACGGTTTTTTAAAAAATAAAGACATCATAAATTCATCTCAAACTTGTAAAGTATTTCTTAGTGATCACTCATGATGATCAAAATTAACAAGGTTCAATCTTTTTCTGTTTTGTGTGTGTGTGTTTTTTTTTTTTTTGTGACATAAGCTTAATCATACATTAATTAAAACAGTTCACAAATTAAAAAAATGAAAGCACTACTTATGCTTTGAGGGTTATACAGATCCCTCACACATATGAAGCTACTAAGATGAGCTCTACTAGCTTTGAGGGTTATGCAGATCCAATTGATGTTCATCACCAAACAGCTCTGCTGTACAAAACGAGAAGTTCCCATCTCCCTAAACCAACATAACATACCAAAAAGTTCTATTTACTAATGTAATTACTTACAAGCCTAAATTTAAAGATACGTGAAAGAGTGCTCTAACACGTTTCGAGTGCTTTTCAAACCTCTATAAATAGAAGACAAACAGATCCTTAGAAACAACAAAGCAAAATAAATTTCCACCAACTCGAGTCCAAATAGCTTCCTAAGTATCCAAAGACATGGAAAAGACTGTCAAATCAGCACTGTTGGTGCTCCTTTTTGTTATTGCAATTGGTAAACAAAACTATATGCTAACATATCTATTTTACCTTGACTTTTCTATAAAGCATTTGAAGTCGCACAATTTAACTAATTTGTTTGTTTAAGCAGGTTTACCAGTGGGTAAATCGTGTTCTAGCTCATACGACTGCAGAATAACAGGTTGTCCCTGTGTTAATCATGAGTGTAAATGCTTGTACCAAACAACAAATATAAACTCACAAGTGCCACCAAAGCCACCAACAGCAAATATAAACTCACGAGTGCCACCAAAGCCACCAACATCCCATCGAAAGGTGCAGAGTCCCTAGAATGAATAACAATAAAAATCATAAATCGATTACAACGATCAATTTACATTCAAACTAATTGAACGAGTATAAAACATTAAGAAACCAGAAAATGAACAAAATTAAGCCAGAATCTCATAAAATTGCTTCGTACTATCATCACATGATACAAACTACTAAAAATCACATAAAAAGTGATGTATTTTTTTTTTTTTTGGACAGGACCACTTCTATAAATTTAATCGGGTGTCCTATTTTTTTTCTAAAAAATTTGGTGCATCATATATCCAAAACAGGAGTATAAAGTAGAGAATGAAAATAATGTTTCCAATTAAACATCAATCTAGCCAGAATTTGAGATGCAACATGAGACATGATATTTATCCATAGTCTATATACCTGATTATGAAAAGCAAAAGAAAGAATTAACAAAAATTTACCATACAAAATCATGGAGAAAACAAATCAAGGTCACTAAAGAAAACTTAATGCTAGTAAATCAATAAATTGATACTTACATAATTCGTTCATATGTAACAGTAGCTTCGGTTGAATCCATTTGATGAAGAATTCGCGATTTCTAGGGTTTCAACAAAATCACAAAAACCTTATTCAATACCAAAATTTGAACAATTGAAGCCAAATATCAAAGGAAAAATAATTAAAACAGCAAATACCTAACTATAGTTGTAGATTCAAGTCGAAATCCAAAGATATCTTAGCATTACGATCGAAGCAGTGTTCGTTCAGAAATTTTTGGGGATAGAAGAGAGAGAAAGGCAAGACCTAGATCAATATCTAGAGAGAGAAAAAGCTGGATAATTTTTTTTTAATTTTTCTTATATACAATCTAAAATTTATAATAATGCCATTATTTTGACAGGGATAGATGTGGAGCGTTGGATCTTGTTTCACTACTATATTTTTAATCGGATGCAACAGCCATTAAAGGGCTAATGTCAACGCCATTTTTGTTACCGTCGCAATAGATTAGGCTAATGCAACGGATATTACTTTACACTTTATAAGATAGAGCTAATACAACGGCATTTTAGATCCGTTGCATTAGCTGAGTTGAAGAATCTAATACAACGGCTAAATAAGCTAATGCAACGGCAAAGAAATTCAATAATGAGGAGAGGCGCTGAAAATTTCACTTATTCCCTCTAATTTTTTCCCCAAATTTTGAACCTTCTACTATATCATTGCCACATGTACAAGATAAACCAAAAAGAAAAGAAACTCTCTTATCCTCTCTCTCTCTCTCTCTCTCTCTCCTCCTTTCCCCAATTCCTCATTTTTTCTCAATCTCATGCTCCTACAATGGCAGCCGCTGCTACTCATTTCTTCGTCTACGCTTACAACCCTTCTAAAATTGGCTCATTAGTTTATTATTCATAAGAAATTTGGGTTGAGTTCTTTTTATAAGTTTTCTCTTTTCTTTGTTTCCTTCTCTTCCACTCAAATTCTTCTGATTTCTTCTATTGCCCAAATCTCAAGGAAAATATCGTTATTTCTTCTCATTTTATGGGCTATTAGCCCCAATTTCAACTAGTAAAATTAGTGAGTTCACTGATTTGAGCCTCGTTAATTCCGCCATATTTTTTTTAATAAGACTTTAATTACGTCATTTACCTTGTTCATAAGTTAAATTAATTTTTGGTTTTTATCTTGTTGTCTTAATTTGGTGTTATATACGGAGTGGATTTCGATTTTGTGGTTATTTACCAATTTTATACTTTTATCAGTTCATAATTTTGTTGAATATTTTTTTGTTTTTTGTTTGGTTAATAGTTATGTATATAACTCGTTATACTGTGGTCTTAGTTGATTATTTGCAATTCTAAAATATTTTGCTCTATAATTTATTTTCTAAAAATTAATTATTTTGAAAATGGAGCTCCCCTTTCTAGATCTATTTAAATTGTAGAAGAAAAATGAGGAATTAAGATAGGAAAGGGCCGATAACGACCAAAATATATGTAATCACTGTCGAGAATTTTTATTGAAGGTCTTTACTTTTTCTCTTCTACCTTATCAATGGTAGATCAAAGGTTTCTGGGAAATAGATAATTATTTGTTGAATATGGTTTTGTAAAGGAAGTGAATGGAGGAGGAGACACACTTTGTGTGTGAGGTGCGGCTTTCACCATTCCCTCTTCAGCAAAGTCGTTGCTTTGGTTGTAGATCTCCCGTCACTCGCAAGCAAAAGCATAATCTTTCTATTCATTTTTTTAATCTCTTTTTGGAGTATTTTATAGCTTTGATTTGATTCGCATGGTCTAATGTCGATTTTTATTCATTTATGCATGATTTTGTGAATTAATTAGAGTGATAGGTGGTATTATAATTGACTATGATTTGAGCTAATTTGAATTGGTAGATTGGTTTTGGGAAATTGGGTTTAAAAGTTTATGGTGTAAATCTATAATGTGATTATAAATTTTTGTTGTAGTCTCCATTGTTATTGTTGTAGTTGTTATTACTGATATCTAGCCTTTAATATTGATATTGTTGTGGGTGTTGTTGTCTCTGCTGTCTACTGTTATGTAAATTGTAAATTATAAATTTTAATAGCCGGAGAACCACTGAAATTCTTTAGTAAAAACTTATGACATACTTATGCATCTGTCTTTCTAATGGCCTATTTCTTGTTCTATAGATGATTTACTTTCAGGTCAAATCTAGGATGCTTAAAAATATATGGCCTTTCAATTGAATGCCTTTTATTTTACTACGAATTGTAATTGACTTTGTAAATTTTTAATTTTAAGGTGCCCCTTTGTAGGCTACGATGCTTGCTTCTGATTTCGGCTAGTTCTTTGTCACATTTCTTTCTAGACCACTTATTTGAGGTAATGCTTTTTCGCCAACATTATTGTGAATAACTGCATCTTATAGACTTATAGTATGAAGTGATAAAAGTTAAAAAATAAAGCTAATACTTGGGTAGCAGAACATTGCTTAGTGGTCCAATGAAATTTATATTAGAAATTGTTTCCTCTACCGGGTTCTTGTTTGAAGATTTTTCCTGCTGTCAGCATTGTGTATCATGAGAAAGTTGTGAATATTGAATCTGTTGGCCTTTTGGGTTACTCTGAAAAAAATGTAGTGGAAGACACATGGTTTGTAAAATCAGTTTTCCATTCTATTTAAATAATTATAGTTGATCAGGCCATTCTTAATTCTTGCTACTAATTTTCTTTATGAGTTTGTTTAGAGATATTGGAGTATTGTTAATGTTCGTATTGGATATGAGTTCACAGGGTATGATAATAAGAAGATAAAGCTTGACAAAGACAATTTATCACTTTGAAATACTTTGCTTGGTTTTGTATAATTTTATTGCATGTATAGTAGTTATCCTACTCAATTCTGATTAAGGTTTTTTTTTTTTTTTGGTTTATTCTCTTGTTTTATTATCTATATATAAAAAGAGCATTAGGATCTTTGATTTTGTATACATGGCTAACTTTAATTTTAATTGATTTTGGCAAGCTTAAATTGACAAATGTACATAATGAAGCTTGGAAAACAGTGACAAGATATATAAACAAAAAAAAAAAACAATCTCATATCAATGTCAAAATGTGACTTCTTTAAGCTTTTGTGCTACTACAATGTTGGGATGTTTATGTTGGTTTTTATGTTGCTTTTGATAACTATAGGACATCTAGTGCTCTAAATTTGTCTTTATTTTGATCCAAACACCCAATTTTGTTGGTAAAAAATGGTTACAGGGAGAGTAGACTTAGTTGCTGTTCTTCTGAAGATATTGCATTCTTGAAAGTCTGTAAAATAGGGGAAATTGATGTGAAAGGGAGGGGGGCTGTTTTTATTCGTTGTATGGATAGCTGGGTGCCATGGTTTATTGTTTTTTAGATGTGTTTGGTGTGTGCCCTCCTTATTTGGCTTATAGTTGCTGCTGGTTGCCGCTTCTGGTTTGGTTTTAGTGTTGGATCTGATAGTGGTAGATCAACAGCTCTGGTTCAGGGTTCTACTTGCTTGCAGCCTATTTTTTGCCTGTTGTGTTTTTGTTTGGTTTGGGGTTGGCTGCTGCCTGTATTGGCTTCAGGGTGCTGCTGTTGTGGCCTGCGGTCTAACATGAGTATTATTGTATAGCTGAATTCTCCGTGCGTTTTAAACTTTTCTCATGTTGATTGTGGCCTTGATCTAGTATAATTTATAATTTAGTTCTATTATATTTCTATTACTTTATTCTATTTAACGTGTAGGTGCATGGGGAGCTAAATGGAGCTGAAGTATAGTAACTAGCTAGTCATTTAACAAATGGTGCATATAGGTTGGCGACTCTTATTCAAGCTCAACTTTGTGAAGATTTGGAAATTCCGGCTTGTATATATGTTGAAAATTTGTATTTTGGAGGATTAAATTAATTATATAACTTTTATTTATTATTAGTAGGGTGTCATACAAAAAACAAGCAACTAATATTTTATAATGTACGTATTTAGCATTATAATTATTTTATATAAATTTAATGATATTTTGTTTCTTAGTATATTTAGATTTGTACTGACTATTTATACATATATTATATTACCGTACAATTCAAAAAAAAAAAAAAGATCAAATGATCAATCTGTTGCAGTAGATACGTACTCCATATATCATTTGTATTAATTAGCTTCAGCCGTTGCAATAGGTGTCAATTTCATCACAATTAGTAGTAAGTAATCTATTGCAACAGATAATTTATATGTGGCAATAGGTGTAGAGCTATCGCAACGGATTATAGCTGCCATGGTATTAGGTGTTGTATACCGTTGCAATAGACCTACTGCAACGCCAGCAAATGCCACGGTACATGGCCGTTGCATTAGGCCTAATGCCACGGAATTTGACGCCTAATACAACGGATTTGGGGGTTGCAATAGGTCAAAAATGTAGTAGTGAAATTTGAAATTTGATCCAACGGTTATAAAATGTTCTCACACATAAAGTGTTCTCACATAAGGAATATGTTCTCACATGATCCTATTTCTATATATATATATATATATATATATATATATATATATATATATATATATATATATATATATATATATATATATATATATATATATATATATATATATATATATATATATATATATATTAGGGGTCAAATGAGAAGTTCCTTAAAATGAGAAGGATTATTTGTGCATAAGTTTTGTATTAAATGCGCATATATTTCGAATTTAATGTGCAAAAAACTCAAAAAAAATAAAATAAATAAATAAATAAACAAATAAACAAAACAAAACCAATGTTTAAAAAAAAAAAATCTTTTCCATTTTCTCCTTCCTCCAAGCTCCAACAATGGTGGTCAATCTATTGAAACTCTCACTTTATCTCTCCACCATTTTCACCGCCGCAACCATCGCTCGCTGCCGCTACATCTGCCAATCTCACTCCCCAATTCTCTCTCCTCTTCTTCACAATCCTTATCTCTACGATCGCTGGAACAATAATTTTATTGCATCAAGTTAAAGGTTGTTGAGATAAATTTTCCAACATCAATATTTAAATTAAATGTTATGTTCAAGTTTTCAT